TTGTTACTTTTTTTTAAAAATTTTTTTTAGCGTTTATTTATTTTTGAGACAGAGAGAGACAGAGTGTGAACGGGGGAGGGTCAGAGAGAGAGGGAGACACAGAATCTGAAACAGGCTCCAGGCTGTGAGCTGTCAGCACAGAGCCGGATGCAGGGCTCAGACTCACAAGCTGCGAGATTGTGACCTGAGCCAAAGTCAGACTTTAACCGACTAAGCCACCCAGGCACCCCAAATCACTTGTTACTTTTAAGGTACATTATCAAACGTGTTAACTCATGTCGTGTGTTGTCTCCCCTTTTCCGTTAAAGTGCAAATTCTATCATGAGAAAGATTGGTCTGTTTTGTTCAGTGTTGTATCCTTGGTCCTTAAAAGAGTGGCACTTAGCAGATCCAGCAGTCAGTAACTTGCTTTTGAGTGAATAAATATGATGCAAATCAAAGATGGAATTTGCTTTGGAAGCAAAATGAGATTGTCAATTTATCACAAAATATTGGTACAGGGAAATAAGATCAGTAACAATTTTTTGAAGCGTTGGCTTTGTACGTTTGCATAATCATGTTGAAGAAAGTTGATCTTGTTGGTTTTGTTTTTCTTAGGCTACTCTTCATTTTAATAGGATATCCTTGGTGTAAACAATCCATGATCATATTTATTCAGTGAATTTGCATTGGTAATGGCCTCTGTGTCTTCTACAATAATACCTTCATCTTTTATTAAAACTTGCAGGCTGCAAATAGGAGAGTAAGAATAAAGGAACACAGGGAAAGTGGAGAAAGATCAGACAAACCCTTTTTGTCACTCTCTATATTTTTAGTCACATCAGTACATCTCTCTACCTTTTAAAGGGCACCTTCCTAGTTTCCTGCTGGGGAAGGTGGGCTGAGTTCTTCGTACTGTGTGTGAGACATGAGGGGAAGAAAGAGAAGAGGGTTGATGGTTTGTACCTCTTCCTTTTCCTCTTCACATTACAGTTTGCTGTTTTTCTCAAGGAAAATAAAGCATTCATTTTACTTAGAAAAATTTGAAGCTAGGCTTTTCACACATTACAGTAATCTTTTTCTACATGCACCGTGCATTTTCATAGAAACTAACTTTTGAAAGCACAGAGGGAAGGAAAAGACCTGATGCTCTCCCTGCAGGATTGCTTCTTGTTACTGTAACAGGAGTCTGAAGGACCAGAAACACAGCAAGGGGCAGGGCATGCTTGGCGCAAACAACAGCTCAAAGACAAAACAAACAAACAAACAAAAATAGGAAACATCAATTATGTATTAGAGAAAGGTGTTCAGTTAATGATCACAGCAGATGCAGCTTTGTTTACACACACACACACAAATTAGTCTCCCCACACTTGGTGTTCAACCTTGAAAACCCAGTCTCATTAGTCTGAAAGAATCTGTTCTAATTATTCTTCAAATTAGAAATTCCTGAGGGAATGTGACCCATTCCAGCGAGCTGATAAACACCACTCAAAAGGGATTTCTTGATATTGACTTTGGGAAAACCTCATTGCAGATCCTGTGCTACCTTGGTAAGCAGGATATTACTCTGAAAATCTTTCCTCTGTTACTGGGTCATCACTGAGACCCAAACATATCTCAAGAGAGTCTTTTCTTCATGATGAAGCTGAGTAGGGAGTCAAACATGAGTAAAAGAAACCATTTGAGCCTGTTGGCAACTGCTTTAATCCGTAAACATCTAGTCATGGGAACAACTGACATCTTTATTGAGTTTACATAGCCCTTCTCAGGCACCTTATTTTGGTGAGCCTTCTAAACAGCACTGTGAATTAGGAGAAATGTGTATCTGTTTTTGGTACTGGTGGCTACCAATTTGACCTTAGTTATAGCAAAAAAGAGATTTTGGTAGGCTGGCTGTCCTGAACTCAGCTGGGAGGGTTACTAGTTTCTTCTATATGGTACCTGTTAGTTACTGTGGCTCATAGCAAAATTTGGGGTTAAATTTTATGTGCAGGATTGGTGAGGTAATGGATCTACTTAGAAGAAATCAGGAGAGCAGGTAAAGCTCACTTCTACTCTAATGCAAGAGTTTTCGATTGCAAGTAGGCTATTAACATGTGAAATAACAACAAAATACATCTAAAGTTAAAAGAGATTTATAGTAAATAAGAGTAACAATAGCTGGCAACTTTAACCAGAGAAGTCACATTAACTTAACTTTCAGGCATTAGAAACACATGCATATTTACATAATGCCAAATTTTAGTATTTTAGGATAACCTTTAACATTACAAATGTCAGAAGTCCCCATGGCCACCCTATGACTGATTCCCTAGATGAACTCACAGGAGTCAGAGCTCTATATAGGATCTCCTATACATGAGTATGGCTTAGAAGTATGAAGAGAAAAAGGTGAAAATCGCCAGTTGGAACAAATGCAAAAGGTGCATGGGAGAGAAGGTCTTGGAGAAACCAATCATAAGCTTCTAGGTGTCTTCTCCAGTGGAATCTCCCAGGATGCCCTGAGCCTTTGTATTAGTGGTCATTCAGGCAGGCATTGCATGTGGCTTATACAGGTAACTACCCTGCTAGTTAAATTCCAGAACATCAAAGAGAAGAAGCTTCGGTTTACCATAAGTCATATTACTAGCATAAACTATCTGGTCAAACAGGAACAGTATAGCCCAAGACTGCAGGCAGTTAAAAACAGTCTTATTAGGGGGCGCCTGGGTGGCTCAGTCGGTTAAGCGGCCAACTTTGGCTCAGGTCATGATCTCACGGTCCGTGAGTTCGAGCCCCGCGTCGGGCTCTGTGCTGACAGCTCAGAGCCTGGAGCCTGTTTCAGATTCTGTGTCTCCCTCTCTCTGACCCTCCCCCGTTCATGCTCTGTCTCTCTCTGTCTCAAAAATAAATAAACGTTAAAAAAAATTTAAAAAAAAAAAAACAAAAAAACAAAAAACAGTCTTATTAGGCAAAACTTTCCAAAGGCTCAGAGCTCAGCAGTCATGAGTCAGCCAAGAGCAGTCCTGAATAAAGGCTAGGTTAGCCCTCCCCTGCACTTTATGTTGTCTCCGTGCCCAAACACTAAAACCATTAAGTGAAGAGTCTTTAAGAACAGCTTCTTCTCAACCATTGTAAAGTCATTCAAATACTCTGCATGTATTGATCATTTATTTTTTATAAATTTATTGTAATACCATTTGCCATTTTTATATTTTCTTTAAAGATAAACTGAATTTGTTCCATTCTAAAAATGTACTTTTACATAGTAAAATTTATCGGGTTATCCTCATACTAACTGGATTGGTTCGCCCTTTAGCTGGCTCTTTTAGTTTCAAAGACTCAAAACTCAGAATTTTTCCTTCTGCTTTTCCTTGCCTTTTGTCATCAGCCATATTTTGTAAACCTGCTTGTTTTTTTTTTTTCTGAAAATGTGGACCCGAAGTATTTTTTAACTTTTTCCTAATTATGGTTGACTCTTTACCTATATGCCTTTTAAAAATGGATTTGCATTGTTGTCACTTGGTAGCATGTATATGATTTTGAAAACAGGTTTTAACCAAACACCGTTTATGGTTTGTGCCTTCATATTTCTTAATAACCCACTTTATGCAATTTCTTGAATTTCCACTTTTGGACAGTATTGACTTACAAATAAGAATATGGAAGATGGATATTTATTTCTCTCATATCAAACAAACCTTTAGTCTCCTATATTTCTAAAAGAGTTGTAGTTGGGGGGGTGTTTAAATTTTATGCCTTTATAATTTAGAACTGAGACATACAGTGTATTATGTTTTCTATTTTCTATAATTTTAGGACTTATCTGGAGTGAATAAGTGCCTTTTATTATTTGCTTAGTTTTTTTTTAATATAACTTTTACAAGTTTACCCAAAATTCATCAAAGAATTAAAAATATTCTGTAAATATGACCAAAACCATCAAGCCACCTATCAGCTTGTTGAAGGCCTCCTTCATCCTGCGCTCTGGGCTGATTTCTCTTCAGCTCTTCTGCAGGCTACCGAACTGCGGCTTCCTTGCATTAGCAGGCTTAGAATTTTTTGACTGTTTTCCTTTGGTGGCTTTTATATTCCCTAGATTGCATATATTTTGACACCAACTGGTATATGGCAGTACAATTCTGATAACGAGTCAGAGTTAACACAGACGCTACAAATTAAAGACATGATTCTCAACTGCCCTCACTTCAGACACCAGCTCCACTTTGGGTCTCCCAAGGCCACCCACAACTCCGACCAACTGTATGCAAATTCACAGGTTCCCAGGATATCCTCAAATTCAATAATTTGTTAGACTCACAGAACTGAGAAAAGTATTCTTAGAATTACATTTTAATTTTACAGGATACTATGGAGTAGGTCTGGGAGAGTCCCAAACCCAGAGCTTCTGTTGCAGGATTTTTTACCACAATACCTGGATTCCTTGTCTTGCTGCTTTGAAGAATAGAGAGGTTGACACAAAATGAGCAGCAGGCAAATTAGAACATCAGAAAGGTAGAATTGTAGGATAAGCTCTCTTTACAGAGAGGTGATATTCTCTTAAGTGAATGCCCCAGGACTATACGGGAGGGTCCTTGTTTTATAAGTTGCTGATCAACCCTCTATCTTCCCTTCCCCCTTGTTCCTTCTCACATGCTACCCTTACAGGTTTAATAGCTCTAGGTGTTGGGTTGTCCGTTCCTGATTGGCTTGTTTTCATTGTATCAGGGGTAGTCTTTGGCCACAGTTAGGTCTTTTGTCAAATTACTGAGGGAAAGCTGAGGTGGGGGGAGGGGGTAGGTGGGGTCTATTAAATTCTTAAGAGGAACCTTATGCCTGAGGGGGTTTGCTGTGGTCAGACCCTCCAGGCATTGTTCCAAAATACATGTTTTTCCCAATCCAGGGACCTCAGGTGCTAATCCTTTCCCTCTCTGCCTACTGAATCCTGTCTTCTCCTACCCTGTTTCCATACCCTGTCCCCATGGAATCAGAGTGTGCCTCCCTGTAAGCATATTGCCAGCCAGAGAGCTGTAGTGAGCCTTGATGTAGAAATTTTTTATTGGGATTTCATTATGTAAGTGCGATTGATTTAATCATGGGCCCCATGGCTGATCTTCCCTGGAGGTTGGGTTGGCTCAAAGTCCTAACCCTCTGATCAGATGGTTGGCCTTTCTCTCGACCAGCCCTTAGTCCTCATCATCTTATTAATGTTTACTGAGGTGTGATCTAAAGGGTTCTTGATTAACAGAGACCTTCCTCTCACTTTGGAAATTCCAAGGGTTTAGTCTTTCTCCAGGGACCAGAAATAATGGTCAAATTTCTCATTGTACAACAGTGTTTCATCCTGTTTCTTGGTTTGTTACATTATTTTGGTGGAATGCATCTTTGAGAAGCTTTCCCTGGTTCATAAGAAGTGCATTGTTTCTCAGATATTACCTAAAAATACATCTCTTTGTCACATTTTATGGATAGTTTATATGAATATAGTCATCAGTGTTGGAAACAGTAGTCTGTCAAGATTTGCAAGGCATTCGTTCACTCTCCTGTGGCTTCCAGTGTTTCAAATGAATAATCTGATGCTTTTCACAAAACTGATTATTTGTATGAGACTTGCTCTTCTGCCACCTTATTACTTTCTACATATTATTTATGTCTTTTATTTTTTCACTGGATTCCAAAGTGGTTCTGTTTAGTTGAAGGCCATGTCTCTTACTTTTCACTCATGCCACTTGTCCACAGCTGCTCTACTGTGGCTCTCCTCCATATTGTTTTTACTGTGGGACCCATGTTGATATGTCTGCAAGATTTGATGGCAAAGGAAAAAGAAATAAAGTAAATCAAGAAAGAGCTTTAACAACATCTGCCAGGAAGTGCTCTCTCTGGTCACATATAATTGAACAAAGAAAATCACAGTCAGTAGTGCCAATGGTACAGGGAGAGACATAGTAGGCAAAATACAGTCTACCATGCCAAGTCCTGCCATGACCACAGTCCTTTTAAGTTTACATTTCATTTTGGGCCACAATGCTTAGAAATATACATATTTCTATACATATTTATTTCTCTCTCTATATATATGTTTTCCAGACTGTTTTGAGATTTGAATAGGGAATTGGGGGATTTCACTATTCACAGTCTAGAGTTATAATTAATCATCATGTCTTCGGTATGTAGCTTTATCACATTCAGTTGTGCCTGGCTTCCCCAAGTCCAGAAGCATTCCTGACCTGATTTTGATACATTATTTCTAAGTGCTTGCTGGGATAGGTGACCAGCAGCCCTGTGTTGGGTGAAACTGGGGAAAAGATCTTAGGATGCACATATATACATTTTCAAAAAATTCTCCTGTTTTGAGACAGACCCTTCACCCTGCCTTTCAGAGATCCTGGAGTGTCTAGTCTCTGAATTATGCTGTGGCCATGAGTTTGCTTCTGGTTGGCTTACTCATCCACAAGCAATTGTAAATACACACACACACACACATATTATACATATATATATAACGTATATGTATATGTGTACTTGTATATATATATTTCATTCTGACAAGATAGTTTTCTCTAGCTCTTCTGCTTCCTATTTCCAAAACTTTTTGATGTTTTTAATCTTCTGTCATTTTGTCATATTCTTTCCTGTTGTTTTGTTCGTGTGGCTTTATATATTTTGAATATTATTTCAGTAAGGATTTAGAAAGAAAAACATATGTTTAACTCATCACATTTAATTGAAAGGCTCATGTTAGTCACCACACAGCTAATTATCATCATGCTTTTTTTTTTTTTAATCACATGGCATCTACATTTATGGCTATGGTTGTTTGCTTTCTTGTTCATTGCTCTTATGTTTTTTACATACCTCTTCTAAGTATTAAAAAGACACTGATCTACCAGATTAGTTAATACAGTATTGTTTTTTCTTCATACTGTACAACCGTCTTATAGCTTTGCTCAAATCTCTAGAATATTCATCTCTATATTGGATTCATACAATATTGAGTTAGGTTGAAAAATAAGATTGTATGCTTTTTGCTTTTTATGTGCTTCTGAGTCTTTAACGTGTTTTTCTCCAGATGCCCTCAGGATAACACTTTCTGTTAAAATTATTACCTTGACTAATAGAAAAAAAATAAAATTGTGTTATAAAATCTTTCATTTCCTTACTGGGCACAATATATAATTTTTATGTCATGTTCTAAGAGTAATAAATTGCAGTGTTTGGGATTAACATTGTTAGTGAAAGCAGAACTGTCTGGTTAAAGGATTTTATGAGACAAGGCACTTAAATACTCACATGATATTTAATAGTTCTGATTACTGTCCTCATATTGAATAACTGATCCCATAGTAATTGAAAAAAATTCATTGTGAACTAGCACATAGTTCACCTAATAGCTATGGCGTACTCATCTTGATACATGATGATATCATTGGATTTATTACTCAGTCACAGAATAAGCTTCTGTTACAGTTTGACAATGCACTGCTACTTTAACCATGCCCAACTCTCAGAGATGGCTTCTTGACTCTTAATTGAGGTGTAGGTGACATATGTAAATGAAATGTGTCCAGGAGGCTGTCCCCTGGATGTTCTAGAATTCGTGATAAATAGGTGGAACAGAAATGACTTCACAATTTTCTTCTTGAAGGAACACACTAAAGCACTAGCCAAATTTGGAATCAGTGTCATGGATTAATGGTCTAGATACAATGTATAATGTCTATGACATATAGTAATTTCCACTGTATCTCTTTTTGAAACAAGTATTGTGTAAAAAATAAAATAAGAATGTTCTTAGTGAACTGTCCATTGTCCTGTGGGTTATATACTGAGTTGGCATATATGGAATATATGAAATGTTTGACTTTTTCTGTTTTCAGGTATGATATACAAAGTATGTCCTTTCATGTTCCTTAACATTGAGTAAAGGGGGAAGGCATGGGCAACCATGATAAATCCATCTCTAATGTTTAGTTATAGTACCAGAATTGGAGTCACATGGACGTGAGAGAAAACTATTTTTTATTATAAGCAAGGTTTTATTAATCTTGGGGAAGTGTCAGTCTGCCTGAATTCATCTTCAGCAGGTGGATCCCAACTCCACCAATGTGATTGTCTTTGTATGGGATGTGTGTGCTTTTCTTTGGGAAGATGTTGAATTTCATGCAGTTTCCTTTCTTTACTGAAGAACCTTCAGAGAGGGTTGGTTGGTTCATTTTCAGTCTCAACAGTGGTACATGTCTCCAAGTAATTCTTGTGTAAATACATGCTCTTCTCAATAGATGTGATGGCCCTGGGTGTTTTTTCTAGTGTTTGCCACGTCTTCTAATGTTTGTGCCCCTTCAGAAGAAATACCAAGTTCCTCTTGTGAAGGCTTTGAAGAACACCTTCCAAGAAGTAGGATTGAGATGGGGAGGAGGATTATATTTTTTTCACAAAAATATTATAAATGATTTTTTGCTCTTTCTTCTTTTTTTTTAAAATTTTTTTTTTCAACGTTTATTTATTTTTGGGACAGAGAGAGACAGAGCATGTACGGGGGAGGGGCAGAGAGAGAGGGAGACACAGAATCGGAAACAGGCTCCAGGCTCTGAGCTATCAGCCCAGTTTTGCTCTTTCTTCTAAACTTTCACCCCAAATTTCAAATCCTTAGAAATTCAGAGGCTAGAAATGGATATTGTGCTCAGTTCACGTGATCAATCTCATTCTGACTGTGGCACAAGGATGGAACTCAGGATTCTACAGCTCATGAGTTAACCTGCCAGGGAATGAAGTGGTCGTCTTCCTTTCTTCTCAGCACCTCAACTATTTGTGAGTGGTTCAGCTAGATCTGCCTCCAGAGAACTTGACACCGGGGGAAATAACTTCTTCATTTTGCCGAGAGGGGCATTGTTTCTCAGCAGTATTTCTCAAACTTTTTTTTTTTCCTCCTCTGAAGTTTATCAAGGAGTAGAATGTGGAGTGGTCATGGCAGCTGTAAGAGAGGAACATGGGGATGATGGTAGTAGATCTGATTTTATTGACCTTGTTATGCCCTCATGTATGGTGTGTGTCCCAATTATATTTGGCCATCCTTAAATGCAGAATAATTGGCATTTTTTATTTAAATGTGTGAGCCTTCGTTAAAAGCATCCTATAATTTTATCACAGTTAAATAAACCACAGTGTTGTTAGAGATGGTGGCTAAATCAGACGTAAGCAAACATGGGCCGTAGACTAAATAGCCCACCCTTTTTGTATTTAAAGTTTTGTTGGAGCATAGCCATACTCATTTGGTTATTGTTAATGGCTTCTTTTGCGCTGCAACAACAAAGTTGACGCGTTGCAGTGGTGACTACATTGTCCACATAGCCTAATATGTTTTTTCATATGAACTTGTACAAAGTTTGCTGATCCCTGGTCTAAATTACTTCCATTTGTCTATTCATCAGTTTGTCACTATTACTATAATTTTCATAATGCAACCCATCATAAAATTTGAGTATCATGTGTACCAAGGACAGGTACATATGTGTCTTAGATTTTTGGGTTGCATTAAAAACGTCTGCAAAAATCAATACACACTATGGAAAGGACTAGGGAAATAAGGGAACAATATAAGATCAGCAATTGGGATCTGTCTCTAACAGGTAATACTGGGGATGGGATGACAAAAATAGATTTACTTTAGAAAAATTTCAACCATTTGATGTGATGATGATTGAGCATTCAGCTTAATTCTGGATTGAGTTTTGATACCTCTATCCATATGGAAATTTTATACTTACCTAGAAAATCCAGAAGTACATGAAAAACCATCAAAAGAACACGTATTGCCCATCGGAGTTCCACAGTCATATCAGGTGGCACACGCAACACCAATATAGTAGGTACATGTTTATTTTAAAAAGCTCAAAGATCATCTTCAAAAATATTACCCTTCTAATGATAACCAGTTGTTATGCTGATGATCATTGACCAGTCCCAAACGTGAAACCTGTATTCAAGAGATGTAAAATGAAATATTCACTGTCCCACATCAAGAAAATAGCCCAAATTCAATAGATTGATAAGAAAGTATTATGATATAGTATAAGAGCAACCTTGGCCATAGGTGATACATTAAGATTCACAACTACAATTGAACAATAAGATATTCAGTACTATGCTTTTACAGTGAGTTTAATGGAAAGATGTGAAACATAACATAGAGAACAGTGTGTCCTCTTCTTGAATCCGAGACCCTGGAAATCTCTACTAAAATCTAAAAGCAAGGATCTAAGAGTAGAGGGGTCTTTACTGAAATTGCAGTTATGTCTATAGCTATCTCTGGAATCTTTTGTTCATGTGGTGACCACTGGCTCTTAGCATTGTGATCCAGCCCTCATTCCATAATCCTCAGTTCTTGCCTATAGTGTGCCTGAGATCCTACCTCTAGGTTACAACTTGTTTTTCACTCTGATTCTCTAGATTTCTCCTCCTTTTGGAATTGTTATAATGCTGTGATCTCAAAACTTTGCAGCTGATTCCTGCTACTGGCAGTCAGATATCCCAAATATCAAATTATTCTCTATATTGTCAATGCCTAATAACTGTTTAATGGATGAGAAGTGACCTTACGGTCCATTTGTAGCTTCTGAATAGCTATAATCCAGATTTCTTGCTGCTAGCCACTATAGAAATTGCTCTAGTGGCCATCACTTTTGAAATGCAAACCATTTTCTGCAGTGTGCATGAGACTACTCTGTGTTGACTGATGTTCCTAGGAACCTGCTCCTAAGGACCTACCAGCCAGGCCTATCCTGTTCCAGTGTGTGAGCTCTTTCAAGCTTCACTTTTTTTCCCTCTTCTGTGGTCCCATGTTTCCATGGAAACCATCCTGCCCTGTGGCATTTGCCTGAAATACAGCATGCTATACCTGACATAGTATTCAATAGTTTATAAGATGGACCTGGAAATGAGATCTGTATCACGGTGAGGTAGTGAAAGAAAATAACTGGATTTATATGAGGCTTGTGTGCAAGTCCTGGCTATGTCACTTTCTAAAAATTACATCATTTCTGTGAACCATACTTTCCTCATCTGTAATAAAAAAAAAATAGGAAATTCATGTTATTTTTGTAGTTACAATGGGAAAATGAAAAGACATAATTTACATAAAGCATCTATTTCAGTGTGTATCTCATAGTGCGTATACAATAATGATTAGCTCCCTGTGTTCTCTTTAAGGAGCAATCTATTTTCAGTAAGGGTACTTTTATTGTAGAGACAGTTTATGTTTTCAGAGTTCAAATAAGGAACAAACTTGAGGGCTTCATGTATTTAGCAAAAGCTTTTAGGGGAGGTGGGAAGTTCTTCTAATACTTGAAAAATGTAAAAAAAAAATCTAATGTACCTCGAACTTTAGTTCTAATAATATTTCTAATAATTTAGTTCTAATACTGTTCTAAGGTGCAAAGCCACAGGTGAATGAAGACCACTGTAACTCGCGGGAGGTGGTGGTGGGGGTCATTCTGGTTAACTCTACCTGGAAAAGATTCAGAGATTTATTTGGGCTTTTCACTGTATTTAACAGAATCCAGTGTAGTTTAAGTAGTCAAGGAATCAATCAAAGGATATTGCAAATGTTTCATCATTTCAGGAGAGTTTAAGAGCCAGCTTAGAGGCTGGTGGTGTTGATTTACCAGAGAAGAGCCTACTAACCCCACAACTTAGAATGCAGGGAATTTTCTAAACAGAAAATGGATCTTCTGAAAATGCTGGATGATTAAAACACGACAAATGTTCGCTTGAGTCATTTTGCAGGGGGAGGTCATATAAAGCTGGGACAGGGTTGTAAATAAAAGATATTTCTACAGAGCCTGTAAACTTGGGAAATTCTAGGTTATTTCACACCAGTCATCAGCTCACTGATGAGTTCATAATCATAGTACATTAAATGTTTTCTGCAAAGCTACTTTACATCATGTTGACATTTTGGAGAGAGCACTGACTCTTGTCCTTATACACTGATGCTCAGAGTTTAGAACATTTGAGTGGATTAGACAAGAGGGAGGGAGGAAAGGAGGGGTGTAATGTTAGCCACTTTATACATAAAAAGGAGAATGTGGTTTTAGGCATGTACTAACAATGGGCTTCCTAATGCTTTACTGCTCTTTTTTTTTTTTTTTTTTTTTTAAGTTTATTCTTGAGAGATAGAGAGAGACAGAGCATAAGCAGGGGAGGGGGAGCAAGAGGGTAGACACAGAATTCAAAGCAGGCTCCAGGCTGTCAGCACAGAGCCCAACACGGGGCTTGAACCCATGAACTGCGAGATCATGACCTGAGCTGAAGCCAGACATTTAACCAGGCACCCCTGCTTTACTGCTCTTCTAAACATAGTCAAACAATGGCATGATGGGGTAATTTCACATCTGCTTTTTTAGGGAAGGCACTTGTATCAAATGCTGTGTGGAGAGAGAACTGGGAAGCCCCTCTCAGTGGAGAAGCAGAGATTGCATGGGTCCTTAGTTGCTTTCGGGGTACATTCAGTTCCCTCTTCCAGATTTGGGCAGATTCTTGCAATAGGGCAGACAGAGGTGGGGAGCGGGGGGACAGTAGCATTCTTCTAAGAGAAATGTCATAAAAGTATGAATCCAGGGTAACGGTGGCCACCCTGTAACTTGGCATTTGGTGGTCATTGCTGGAAGACCCATTGGAACCATATTTTGTAAACACTTGAATATGAAAGGGGACATCTGAACATCATAGCTATTACAGGTTTTCTGTTAATATATGATCTCAGCCCTGCTTTAACAGTCATAAGTTAATCCTCTTTCTTGAATCTCTTCAGTCCCTTGTGAGTTCACTTTTTCTCGAAAAATGATTGGCATACATGTTTAGATTTTTAAACTTGTACTGAGTACACATGACTTTTACATTTCTCTATTACAGATAATAAGGTTGAAAATTTCTCCTGCAGTGCACAATGTATTGAGAGTGATTTCTTGATAAGCCCATTTAAGATAGACTTTGAAATCAGTGTCTGACTTGATAAACCCATTTAAGGTAGACTTTCAATCAGTGTTTGTGTGTCAGATACTACCAGCATTATGAAGAAGAGGATGAGTCTCTTCTCTAGATGATAGAAAGTTTTGCTTGAATTGTGAGTAGAAGAAGGGTGTTATGGAAGAGGGAGATGAGACAGAAGTGTATGCGTTCAGAGGGAAGGTGCCCATTGACCCGCTTTCTCCCTACTTTGTGACTGTAGGTAAAGTTTGCTAAAATTCATTATATGCTTTTCAGAACTTTGTGAACACCAATATTTGGAATGAATAAAGCACTACAGTGTGAAAGAGAAACACATTGGAAACAGAGAACAATTCTCAGTTCTTAGCAGAAAGTAGATGAGGCATTTTCTGCACAGGCTTTCGCAGCATCCATACCTTGCTTTCAAGGACTGGAGAGGCCCCAGCCTACATTAGGTTTCAGGTGTGTGTATGCGTACCTGCTACGGCAGCTTTCCTTTCTCCTCAGATACTCTCCACAGGAAGCAAGATGGATTTGGCTTCTGTGCAATTACTGAAGTAGAGCCAGCGACATAGCCACAGTTAGCGGCCATCACGCTTGTAGCATTTCTGTAAGATGAACAAAGATGTGACTCAGCAGTGATTTAATAACCATCCTGCCGCCCTTAAGAGAATTTATATGGGCCTGTTATGTCACTTGCTGCCACACAGACCTCAGCAGTGGAGCTGTTTCATGAGGGATTGCTCTGTGGGCCTGCAGGGGGAGGAAAATGAAATGGATCAGATTTCACAGAACATTCCAAGTTGGGCTTCTGGTTTTTCCGATCTGGTTTCCTACAGGGGATAGGTTTTGGTTTCTATAGTTTGGTTGCAAAGAGATATATTTCCAGTTTACCAGGTTGCACGGATAGGGTGGATGTTACGTTACATATACACAAACACATTTTGAGCACTGAACTTCCTTTGATCATCAATTTTGTACTCAGACATGCTCAGTCTAATCCCACTTAACCCACTCTTTAATATGCGGCCAATACTTTGAATTTTCTGACGTGTTTTTTCTTTCAGATTTCTTATTTTTAGCAATGCCTATTGAGTCTTCAGAATTTCTAGTTTTGTTGAATTAATAAAAATTCTCTGCGTTTTGAAATCTAGTATAATTTATAAATATGATAAAGCAAAGTTAAAATATATTTTTAATTTTAAAATAGAGCTTCTTTCCTTTAGTTAGCTACCCCCCAACCCAATTAATTTTTTTTCTCCTCTCTTTAGGCAAGAGGCTTTTCATGGTACTTGACATGCAGTCATGGATTGGCACAACATAGCTATTCGTTGAAGTAGGTGGCAAGGTAAAATGCCTTTTCTTATCAATTTTCCTCCAGGTATTCTTGTTACAGTTTTTTTTTGTTGTTTTTTTTTTTTTTTGGCATGGATTTTTTTAGTCTACACTTTGATTTGTGACACAATCCATACATACAAATGCACAGTCATGGAATGTAGTTTTATCAGGTGTATTGAATTTATGTGAATCTAAATCTGCATACTTTCCCCACAAAAAGAAAATGATTATATTTTAAGTACTTCTGGTACTTCCTTACACCTGAGCTTCCGTTATGGGAAAGAAAGTGATGGGAGTTGGGAATGTACTACGTCAGAGCCCATCTCGGTTCTGAGAATCACATCTCCTTATAAACCCATATTCTAAGTGCCATTCCCATGTTTAAAGGTACAGAGATGTCTGCCAACTTCCTGTGGTCCTCAAATAAATGATGCTTTTTAAAACATGTTTTATTTATGTATTTATTTAGAGAGAGAGAGAGAGAGAGAGAGAGAGCAAGTTCGTGTGCAAGCAGGGGAGGGGCAGAGAGAGAGGGAGAAAGAGAATCCCACGCAGTCTATGCACTGTCAACATGGATCCTGATGCGGGTCTAGAACTCAGGAACCCTGAGATCATGACCTGAGTTGAAATCAGGAGTCCGACACTTCATGGACTGAGCCACCCAGGTACCCCCAAATAAATGATGTCTTATTCCTTACTCAGAAGTCTTTATTGTTTTATAAATATTGGAGGAGGGCAGGTCTGTGTTTTAAGGTGTGGCACTTCCCCTGAAGTATTTCCAAGAACTTTTCACTCTTCATGGTATAATCTAATTCATCACAAAATGAGACTTCATTGTGTATGTTCCCTCTCTGTATATAATCTACTTCATATGGGTATGTATGCATTTACATGTGTAAAAATCAGTCAGTATTTGTGATAGTGTATGTATATGTATAGGTATATAGATATAATTCAGTTATATTTAAGAATTTCATGATACAAATTACAGGTGAAGAAAACTTCAAAATTCTTCACAGTTGGAAAAAACTGAAAAAAAAAATTTTTTTTTTTTATTTCAGTTCAAGTTTGAACAATCTCGGTTCTCTGCTTCTCTCCTGGGCTCACCCTCCAGTGAATATACATGACTATGGTAATCTGATGATGTGTATGGACCACTATTTATACAACCCAAGCACCCTTCAGGGCTTCTTAGCTCTTTGAGATTCAGGAGGATGAGGCCGGTAACCACATTTTCCCAGCTGTGCAGATCTAGAACCTTCCTACAACCTCTGCCCCAAGGGTGGATTGATACCATTCTTTGTCTGTTGTTGGCTTTCCCATGAACCCAAACACCAATAGTACCTTGATCTCTTTGGCCTATATATTGAGGGACAGTGGGTAGCCCGGGAGGGAGCTCTTCATAGCCCACTCAACATTCTGCCCTCATCCTCAGGACCTTCATCTTTACCTTCTGTCCCTGAGCTGAGCAGTCCTCCCTCACTCATTTTCCCTACTGTTCAGACTGCCTGGGAGGCACAGTTACTCCCGCTCACATTCTTAGTGGTTGCAATGGAAAGCAACCCATTCGATCTCCGGTAAAAAAGTTGAAGTCAGAATAATTTCTTTCTCAGAGGAAAAAGGAAAAGCGACGAAGGATTTTTATTGGTTGTAGCTCAGCCTCCTTTGGCTCACACTGCCATCCTGATCCTCTGCTAGTTTTTCTGGGAAGTTAGTTGGGAATCTTTTTGATTAAATGAATTTAAGTTGGCTTCTTTATTTGTGTCCTTTTAATATGCCTCTTTCTTTAAGCTTTTTTTTTTTTTTCTGGGCCAGCAGTGGATTCCAAGTTTATTTTGCATTTTTCCTGATCCATTAATGGAATTAACCATATCTTCAAGGTACTGTACTTCTTTTAGAGGAGAATGCATTCAGAAGCCACACTCTAGATCACAGATATGCTTACTGTCATCAGGCTTTCGGAGTAGACAGAGCTAGAGTGTTTACATACATTTGACCCTTTATACATACTTTTATATGATCTAGAAAGATTGTATATCATGAGTTCACACTGATGTTTCTTTTTTTATTTAATGTTTATTTATTTTTGAGACAGAGACAGCATGAATGGGGGTGCATCAGAGAGAGAGAGGGAGACACAGAATCCGAAACAGGCTCCAGGCTCTGAGCTGTCAGCACGGAGCCCGACGCAGGGCTTGAACTCACAGACCACGAGATCATGACCTGAGCCGAAGTCGGACGCTTAACTGACTGAGCCACCCAGGTGCCCCAGCATACTGATGTTTCTAATTCCAGTTCAACACCTCTGGGTTTTTTTCTATTTTTTTTTTTTTTAATTTTTTTCTCTATTTCCTCTCTGACAGTGAGAATCCTGGCTCCCATTACTATCAGTATATACACAATCCCTGTGTATGTAATTAGTCACCCATCTTCATGGTTGCTCTGTCCCCATGTGGATGCCCTGTGAACCCTATTAGGTGCCTTTAAGCCTGATTTTTGTTCTCAGTTCGTGGGGCTGCATTGTCTCATGGATGCCTTCCCTATTCCTCTGAGGCTCTGATTCCTTATATCAGACTTTCTGCCCCACGTTACATGTCCCATTTAAGTTCTGAATCTTTACACCAGGCTGCCCCCATATGGGGACTCCTTCCTGCATTAAAGGTATATTTGGAAAGGCTGACAAAAATACATAAAACATTTACTCAGACACCCTGTGCTGGGCTGACCCTGGAATATGGATACCTTCCTTACTGAGCATTGCCTCTGACCTCACATACAGGGCTACTCTTTGTGTGAATACCTTCCTCACTCTTTTAGGGCTCTAAAACCCTTCAGCAAGTTGCCGTCCGGTGTAGATTCTGTCTTCGTCCTGCTCGAGATCTCATTTCATTCACTGGACTGCCCAGATGCATGGATACCCTCCTCTGCCTGTTCTAGCTGAACAGTTCCTTCTACCCAGCCTTACCCCTACTCCCACTTCTGTCATTGTTCTTGTATTCCAGCATCCAACTCTGGGCCACCACAGCAACTCCACCCCCTGGTCCAGATAGACCTTGTTCTGCTTCACTTAACTGTTTGGCAAGTGAGTTATTCAGAAAAGGAAAGGAACAGGCAGAAGAGGAAGAGCCCTTGCACCATTTTAAGATATCTACTTTCTTTGCTTGGTTCAGTTGTCTACAACTGCAAATGTAAAGGAAAAATCTAAAATATTTACACTGCAGTGACTAAGTAGTGTCAGAATTATAAGCTCACAGATGTCAAGTTATATATATCTCCATATTTGTATTCTCAGTATGTAGCATATGGCGTGGCACGTAGCAAATATTTATGATTAGTGAATTAAAACTTGCATGGGATGACTTCATGGTTTGCGTTTTAAACTACACTTCTAAATTTTGGAGGAGCTTAGTCTACTAACAACTTACCCCTCCCTCATTTTTATTATTCTAAAAAATATGCTGAATAAAACAGTGTAATTTAAGTTCTAAGGCACTTTGAATCTTTATTTCTTCCGTGTGTGTGTGTGTGTGTGTGTGTGTGTGTGTGTCTTTACCTTTTCTCTTTCCATTGTATCATTCCTACAGATATGCAAATAGACTGTGGTATTTAACCTCCCTTTTGCTCTATACCTCAATGTCCCTTCATCCTTTTTCATCCATCTGCCCCCAGTCTATTCTAAACCACTGTCATTTCTCATCTCAGGACTATGTTTCCTTGGGGGAAGAGGGCATATGGATTCTTTCCTGGTCTTTCTGCTTCTCTTTCCCCCTCCAGTCTTTTTTCTGAGTAGCAGTGTGAGTCTTACTCCCCACTACCTCCTCAGCCTTATTTCTGGCCACTTCCTCATGGGCAGCACCACAGACAACTAATCTCTAAATAACTCCTTAAACGCATAAGACTACTTCCATTTGATATCTTTTCACTTCATTTGGTATCTTTGATATCTTCAAAATGTTGTCTTTTCTTCTACCTTTAGGTCCTAGCTTTCATATTGGAAGCTACTGTATCCAGAGTTGTCCTGTTTACTTCCTTCACTTTCAGTAGTTTGTAATTATGTTGTCTATTTCTTTTTTTTCACCTTTCATTCTCATAGACCATAGACTCCATCATCGTAAGGACCATGATTATCTTGTTTTCCATTGTATTCTAAGAAGAAAAGTTAGATGCTTAATAAACATCTAATGAATGTATAAATAATAATGCTGAAACATTCAAACAAAATGAGGATAGAGGAGACAGTTTTAAAAATATGTATGCTCTAGGGGCACCTGGGTGGCTCATTCAGTTGAGTGTCTGACTCTTGATTTTGGCTCAGGTCATGATCCTGGGATCGTGGGTTCAAGCCCTTCATCGAGCTTCACGTGTGACTCCATGTTGAGCATGGAGCTTGCTTATTAGGATTCTCTCTCTTCCTTTGCCCTTCTCACTCCCTTGCACATTCTCTCTTTCTCTAAAAAATAAAAATAATTAAAAAAATGTGCTCTGTAAGAGTAAATGTTTTATGTATTTTTGTTAGCCTTTCCAAATATACCTCTAATTCAATTTTTAAAAATCACATAGTTACCAAAAAACAAAAAAAAAAAAGAGGCATTATTGTACAACATGTATATGGACTTTTATTTGGGAAAAATGAATTTTTATGAGAATTCTTATGAGAAAACTGTACAGCTAAAATATTACCAGTTAGCGTAAAATATATTTGCAATAACAAGACAGTTGACTTCCTTAGCTTAGTTCAAGGTTTTTCAAGATTTCCGTTAACTTAAAAATATTTGGAAGCCAAGCCTAGAATTCAAGAAAACCACTAAAATGTTAACGTGTCAATTCTTACTCTGTGCCAACTGAGTAGAGGCAAAAGTTTTTGAATATTTTTCTCATACATATTTAGGTGAAATGTAAGAAGGAAATATGTTGAATGTATACTATGATGCCCAATTATTGTGTGTCCGCCTTTGGAGTGCTTATGGCCCAGGGTAATTGATGAGGTCCCAAATAATATCAAAAAGCAATTTATTCTAGAGCAGGGTTTTCAAACTATGGCCTGCGGCTTGTTTATGTTCAGCCCTCAAGGTAAGAATTGTATTCACATCTTGAAAGCATTATAAAAAAGAAAAACAAAGATATGAGACAGAGACTGAATGTAATATGCAAACCTTAAAATATTTATTTTATGGCCCTTAATGGGGAAAAAAAATTGCCAACCTATTTTCAGAAGCATTACTGAGGAAAAGTAAGAGGAAAAAAAAAATGGAATAGATGAATCTAATATAGGTAAGAGCACATTTTGGAATGAAATACTCATAGTTAAATATTTGATTTTTGGCTCCTTTAAATTATGAAATTTTGGTCATTTTTTTTCTTCTTCCAAGTCTATTCTGTAGTTAAGACAGTTGGAGGTACCAACATTTCAAAAATGACTTGTGATGTTTCAAGATTTATCTTGGATTCTAAAAAAGGTATATGTTCTGAGGCACCTGGGTGGCTCAGGTTAAGCATCTGACTTCGGCTCAGGTCATGATCTTGTGGTCTGTGAGTTCGAGCCCCACATCAGGCTCTGTGCTGACAGCTCATATCCTAGAGCCTGCTTCAGATTCTGTGTCTCCTTCTCTCTCTGCCCCTCCCCAGCTTGCGCTCTCTTTCTCTCTCTCAATAAATAAACTTTAGGAAAATAAATAAAGAAGGAAATAATATGTTCTAAGTTCCCAAAGGAAAAACTCAACAATATTACTTGGTATTGTATATATGTGTATGTACACAATATATATACATATATAACATACGTGTATACATATATATACATATATATATACACATGCTATATATATGTATATGTATATGTATATATGTATATACACACACACACATACATACATACATACAACATGTATAGTATATATATATACTGGGCAGGATTTTGTCTAGTACTACAGTTCTTACCATGCAGTGGACCTTATGAAACCTTATAAAAATATTAGTGCCAATTACCCTGATGTTATTTTTCCTCTTTTTTTTTTAAGACAGATTTTTTGAGGAATAATTGACATGCAATAAATGCAGCATTGTAAGGTATAAATTTGATAACTTTTGACACAAGCATACACCATGAAACATCACTATAATCAATATAATAAACATATTCTTTACCCCCAACCATGAAAAGTGAAAAATACCTATTGTAAAATCTAGAGAAACCACTAAAAACTTAAGAAGTGTAGCTAGTAAGCTAAAGGGAGACATTAAATGAAATACTACAATTTAAGTAATCCAGAAAGCAAAAAAAGGAAAAAGGAAGAAAGAACAAATATAAAATTTAGAAAACTAACAGCAAGATGATAGATTTAAACCAACCCATATTAACAAATATTATAAATGTAAATGGTATAAATTCTCCACTTAAAATGTAGCAACCATAAGAGTAGATAGAAATCTAGACATAATTATATACCTTCAAAAATTTAATGTAAATATAAAAGTAAATTTCATGACAAGAGATATTAGCAGACGTAGAGACATGTCATAGTGATAAGAGTCAATTTACTAAAACTTAAAAATCCTAGATATATATAATAATCTAATAGTAGTTATTTTAAAATACATGAAACATCTGTTGACAGAAGTGAAAGGAAACATAGACAAATGAACAATTACAATTGAAGATTCAACATCTCTGTCATAGAAATTGATAGAAATGTAAGTCATAAATTATTAGGGATAAAAATACTTGAACAACACTGTCAACCAATATGACTTAGTTGATATATCTAAAGCATTCCACTCAACAGCAGAACATAAATTCTTTTCAAGCACGCAGGAAACATGCATTAAGACCATACCCTGGGCCACAAAATGAGTCTTACTGGATTTAAGCAATTGAAATAGTTTTATTTCTATACACGGGCAATAAACAACTAAAAAATAAATTGCACTTATAGTGCCATCCCACAACACAAAATAGTTGGGGATAAGGTTAACAAAATGTATATCCTAAATATGTAAATACTGACAACTAGAAAATATTTTTTGATCATTGATTTGATTGGTGTGCAGGGGACCATCCTGTATCATGTTTTAAAGAGCTAGTGTATCGGGGACCCTGGGTGGCTCAGTCGGTTAAGCCTCTGACTTAGGCTCATGTCATGATCTCACGGTTTGTGAGTTGCAGCCCCACATTGTGCTCTGTGCTGACAGCTCAGAGTCTGGAGCCTAGTTAGGATTCTGTGTCTCCCTCTGTCTCTGTACTCCCACCCCACCGCTTGCTCGCTCGCTATCTCTCTCTCTCTCAAAAATAAGTAAACATTTAAGAAAATTTAAAAAAAAAACATATTAAAGAGCTGGTGTACCGTATGTACCATAAACCCAGAATGTGTCCTCTGCCCTTCTAATTTTACGTGGAGAAACTCATGTCCGGTGTACATATTGTAAGTTGACGAATTTCTGTTTCCATTTCTGCCATATACTCCTACATATCTACTTCTCTTTTCAACGTGTAGCCTAAGGTTTACAGGTAAACTGAGTCAGGTATCAATCATTTTGTGATTATATCTGCCAGTTTTGCCTCTTTTCCTTCAGTATGTTCTACAAACTTCTTGTGACCATATTGTTATGTTCCAGGAACTGTGTTTTATAATGAGGATTTAGATTTAAAAATCCATTCCTGCCTGTAAGATCACAATTTTGTAGGAAGGCATACACAAACTAATAATTTCCATGTAATCTGCTCTAATAGTTTTAGAAACTCTCCTGATGTCAAACTGTTGCTCACATATTTCAGTGTCTTACTTTCCGTTGAGTGTTTTTTGGACAGCATAATTGCCTGGATTCTTTCTGCCATTTTCTTTCTTTGACTTTTGATCCCATGTTGGTTTTTGCACCTGATGTTTAGGTTATATTCTTATTTTACACACTTTTTTTGGAAGCCCTGCCTGACTTTGGCTGACTGTCATTGGTTGTCCTTTGGGTATTCTCAGATTTAAACCATTTCTTCTAGTTTTGGTTTAAAACTGATTATAATTGACTCTTCACCTGGTGTTAAAGCTGAAGACAGAGTTATTTTATTTTTTACAAATACTTTTACAAAGTATTTAGGCATGTCGATACCCTGAATATTATAATAATCTGTAAAAGCATGCATTTTAATTC